GAGGTTGCTGTGAGCTGTGACGCCACAGCACTCTACCCAGGGCAACAAAGAGAGACTCTGTCTCCAAAAAAAAAAAAAGTTCTCAACAGTTAATTTGATAACAAAACTTTGCTAGAAGTCAGTCTTCTAGCAAAATACAAGTACGCAACCACAAAGATCAACACGGAATTCAAACAGGAATTCTGATAGTAAATGAAGAACTAAAACCACTGTTACTCAGACTCATTCAGTATTGGCCCCAGAGCTGAATGTCAAACTCAATTTAGAGGACTTTTTTTGAGGAGTTTAAATTTTAAATGTTCATCCAAGACTCAATTTATTTTCTCTTGAAGCACTAATTGACCAACAGCTAGAAATAGCTAGTACATTTAGAAGTCACACTTACTGACTCACCCCTCACAAAATCCCATTTCTTAATTCTTACATTTTCTAGTTTCCAGCAGATTCGTGATCACCATTAAAGTTTCACAATTTTATTTCATTTGAATGAATAAAAGCATTTCAGTACAGTATTTTAATATTAAGACATTCAGTATCTTTAAAAATTATTTCTTAGACTACTTGCTTAACTGACAATTCACAATTAGAATAATTACACTGTCACCATTTTTTACTCCCACAGAAAAAATGAAATAAAATCTTAGGGAACTGACAAGAGAACTTTGTTTTTGAAAAAAGGGCAGTAGCCAGAAAGTTGAGAACACTAGCCAAACTCCAAACACCCCACGAGCAGATGTCTCCCTGTCCTGGCCCACCCACTTTCCTTCCCTGCAGTGCACACACACGATGACTTAGCATCTGCTGCAGGAAGCTTTGTAAGACAACCGCCAAGTGTGGCAAACCCTGAGCAGGGTGAGCTGGCAGACTTCCCCCCTGGCTTACAAATGGTGACGGTGCCTATCTGGGGATGAGGCCTGCCCTGCCCTGCCCTGCCCAAGGGGAGAGTTACCCAGAGCATGCACAACGAGAGCAGAGCAGGGAGGATTCTCTTTGAGGTTGTTAGAACCTGATTGTTTATTTCATTCAACGATAAAGAAACTGTTCCTGGGAATTGTCCCTGCCCAAGATAGGGCTCAGATTTGCTAAAAAGCAGCCAACTTCCTTCTATAGGTTGCTGGACTAAACAACCTCAACCTACTTCCCTCCTTACTGTGCCTTACACCACCCAGTTCATAAACAGGGTGCAGCATGATGCATGGGGAAATGGAAAGAAAGGAGGAGACTAGGAACAGAAAGGCAGCCTGTGTCTGGAGGCGCAAACAGGAAGACCTCTGCTCTACTATCAGAATATTCTGCTGGGAGCCAAGATCAGCCTTTCATTAAACACCAAGGCACCACCTTTCATTCTCTCTTTTCCAGTGCCCCCTAGTATAACTATTTTATTCTTACAGAAACAGCTTTCGGTTTTGTTAATCCTCTCTAATTTGTTTTCTCTTTATATCTGCTTTTCTTATTTCCTTCTCTATCTTTTTAAGTTTGATGTTAGTACATTAATATAAGATCAGGGTAGCACACATCTATAATCTCAGCACTTTGGGATCCTCAAGGCAAAGGGATCACTTAAGGCAAGGAAGTTAAGCCTGGGCAACATAGCAAGATCCCATCTCTAGCCAGGTGTTGTGGCAGGCACCTATAGTCCCAGCTACTTGGGAGGCTGAGGCAAGAGAATTGCTTATGCCCAGGAGTCTGAGGTTGCTGTGAGCTCTGACAGCACAGCACTCTACTGAGGGTGACATAGTGAGACTCTGTCTCAAAAAAAAAAAGTATAGATAAGTTTTTATTTTGTTAGTTATCTGGGTGGAAAGAACAATAAAATTTTAATAAATTCTGGGCATATAAGAAAATATTTCTCTGAATTTTTCTATAAAAAATTCCATTCTAGGGTGGAGCCTATGGCTCAAAAGAGTAGGGCGCTGGCCCGCTATGCCAGAGGAGCAGGTTCAAACCCGGCCCTGGCCAAAAACTGCAAAAAAAATTCCATTCCAGTTAACCATCCCATTAAAAAGATCTCAGGCTACTGACAACAATAAAATCACCAATGCTAAAATATTCTAAAGGTAAAATTGGATAGGAAAGACAGTAGCTTCTGAATTTACCTCCGAGCTCATATGAATGAGAGAAGGACCACAAAGAAGAGACTTAACAGCAGTTTTTTCATACACAGAGCTAAAAGCACTCTGAAAACCAGTAAGTCTGAACAGATTCTCTAAAAGACCAGTCTATCAATATTCCAGAAGGACATCGAGATGAGAGCAGTGGGACGAGAGGGCTCAAGCGCAGAGTGCAACATTACCGATGAGGGTGACGGGGACGCCGTATTCCAGGGCGGAGATAGCCGTCCACTTCCCGGTGCCCTTCTGCCCAGCACTGTCCTTGATCTTTGGCAGCAGGTATTTGCCATCGTTGTCTTGGAACTTGAGAATATTGGCTGTGATTTCAATCAGGAACGAGTCTAGCTCCGTCTTATTCCACTCTTCAAAGGCCTATGTGCGGAACATGAGAGAGAATAAGGTGAGAGAAACGGGGTGGTGCAGGGGAGGCCCCTTAGCTCTAACCTCTGTGCACTGACTCCTCCTTGTCCCAAGTCAACAGCAAAAAAGGCTCGGGGTGCTGAGCGTGTGGGGCCGGCAGGCGCTTCTGGAGTCTGCCTGCTGAGCTTCAAGCTGACCCAGAGTCACTCTACCTGGTGATGCAGTTTCTGACCGCCAGAACTGTGCCTGCCTCAGAGCCAAGTGCTGCTCAGTCCTCTCAGGTCTCGCGACACTGCCGCCCACGGCCCCCGGGATCACCCAATCTAACATCTCCCTTACACTCCAGTTTATCTTCTCTCTAACAGTCATCACAAGCTAGTTTTACATTACATGTTTAATCATTACCGTCTAACTTCCCAGCTTCGTGAGGGCAGGACTTGGTTTTGTTCACTATTGCCCCAACATTTAGAATAGTGCCCAGCATACAGTAAGCACTCAAATGTTTGTTGAATTAATACACTAAATAATACATAAACCAATTAAATATGAACACAAAAAGAAAACTATTTCTATGAAAACCAAGTTAAATGTTTAGCTTTTTAAAATTTATGTATTTATTTGTATCTGAGACTGAGTCTCACTTTGTCACTGGGGCTGGGGTGCAGTAGCACAATCATAGCTATGGCAACCTCAAATTCCTGGGTTCAAGTAATCCTCCCACCTCAGCCTCCCAAGTAGCTAGAATTATAGGTGTACACCACCACACCCAGCCAACTTTTTGAAAAATATTTTTTATAGAGACAAGGTCTTACTATATTGCCCAAGCTGGTCTCAAACTCCCAGCTTCAAGCAGTCCTCCCACCTTGGCTTCCTAAAGTGCTAGGATTACAAGTGTGAGCCACCACACCTGGCTGACTTAAATGTTTTAGAAAAAATAATAAAGGCAAACCAGTGAAACATAACTGCAGTCAAAATGAGTGAAGACCACGTCAATTTTTTAAAAACTAGGAGGAAAAAAATATAAAAAATCTGGAAAGATTATTCCCTGTATAACTTGCAAGTGTCTTTAAATCAAAATCAAGTTCCACCTGAAATAATTAAAACCAGAAATTCTATATAACATAGATGATTAGAATGCTAATCTATAGAATACTTAATGAAAAGGGCTTGATTTGGGCGGCGCCTGTGGCTCAGTGGGTAGGGCACCTGCCCCATATACCAAGGATGGTGGGTTCAAACCCAGCCCTGGCCAAACTGCAACAAAAAAATAGCCAGGCGTTGTGGCGGATGCCTATAATCCCAGCTACTAAGGAGGCTGAGACAAGAGAATAGCCTAAGCCCAGGAGTTGGAGATTGCTGTGAGCTGTGATGCCAGAGCACTCTATCAAGGACAATACAGTAAGACTCTCTCTCTACAAAAAAAAAGAAAAGGGCTCGGCTCTACAAAAATTACTGGTGCATAAATGTATCTTCCTCTGTTTTCAGTTAAAATACGCGTATATGTTTACCTAATGATGCTGAAGTACTTAGGGAAAAAAAGTACTGATGCCTGCAGTTTACTTAGAAATGTAGAAGAAAAAAATAAGATAAAATTGATAGAGAAGCCAGTGTGGTGGCTCACACCTGCAGTCCCAGGAATTTAGGAGGTCAAGGCGGAGGGACTGTTTGAGGCCAGGAGTTTGAGAGCATCCTGGGCAGTGTAGAAACACCCTGTCTCGAAAGAAGAGGAAAGGAGAAGAAAAGAGAAATTGATGGTGGAATTGACAGACATGAAATTATAGGAAAATGTGAATTGTGGCATCTAGGTAATGTGCACACAAGTGTTCACTATAAAATTCTTTCAACTTTGCTGTATGTTTAAATATTTTCATTTTATTTATTTATTTATGTACTTTTGAGACAGAGTCTCACTTTGTTGCCTACTAGTATAGTGCTGTGGCATCACTGCTCACAGCAACCTCAAACTCTTAGGCTTAAGCGATTCTCTTGCCTCAGCCTCCCTAGTAGCTGGAACTACAGGCGCCCACCACAATGCCCAGGTTTTTTATGTTTGTTTTTTTTAAAGAGACATCTCCTTCTGGCTTAGGCTGGTCTCAAACTCCTGTGCTCAGGGCACTCCACCCGCCTTGGCCTCCCAGAGTGCTAGGATTACAGGCATGAGACACCGAGCCCAGCTTTAAATATTTTCATAATAAAATGTTTCAGCTTCCCCACTTGGACCACCTTTTTTGATTAACTACCCAAAAGCTAATCCCAACTTGTTCAGAAAAGAAAGCTTCTTTTTTTTTTTTTTTT